AATGATTGTAGAACAGTACATTATTAAAAATGCCATGAATTTTAATCATACAGCAGATGCTACTTAATGTGATCATATTTGCCCATGGCTACTTGATAACATTAAGCTATGAGAAAACTTATCCTTCAAATTAGCATTACAATTTAACTAATTTACTATTAAAACTAACTAAATATTAAAATTTAACAAGCTAAACTAATTACTAAAACTAACTAAAATATAACTAAACGCATAAAAATATGTACTTTAACAGCATTTTAATCGGGAAAATGGAAAAGACTGTTCGTGAAACCAAAATTAATTTCTGAATTGTTTATTAGTTTTTTGGAATTTATATTAAATGGGTCAAAAAGAATACCTGTGAATGCTGCAATTACTATGACAGATCATTGTTTATCCTCGTTCTATGACAGATCAAATTTACAGTGAAATTATAGTTATCCAAGTTTCTATATATGTTCTGCGTAAACCCCTCCGGGAACACTGCAAATATCTATGCGGTACTCCAGTTTCTACCACACCTGTGATAGAATATCCTTGTTAATGATTCAAAGACTTTAGTTATCAGCTGCTTCAGTTTTTGTAAGTCCTGAGGAAATGGAGGCAAGAACACCTTATCTTTAACAAAACCCTACAGGAAAAAAAACACAAGAGATCTGGGGATACCGAAGGCTAACAAAGCAATGGCATATTTTTTGGCCAATACAGCAATGGGGTAGACTGCTGTTCTGGTACTGGTGTACGTTTTATGACAATGTGGTGAAGCACCGCCTTGCTGCAAAACGAAGCCAGGAACTGCTTCCTCCAATAGAGAACCACTGTGATAGCATATCTTGGTAAATGTAGCCATGAACTGATTTTTTGCAGGAGGAAGAGAGTACCAAAACAACTGTTGAAAATGTTGCAGAATCATGCTCATGTTCCAATGAAATGAGGATTTTCCGTGCCCCAAAATCATAAATTTTGGCGATTAACTTTGCCAGAAACATGAAAAATAGCTTCATCTGTAAACACAAGCCTACTAGCAAAACCATCTACTTCCAGCTTATTTGCAAATTCTCACAGAAAATTTTACACAACAGTTTGTCCGACGGTTTTAACACCTGAACCATTTGAAAGGTATATGGCAGGAATTATAGATGTTTCCGAAACACATGTCACACCAATCTATGAGGCACATTGAGTTCAGAACTCGCATTACACCTTGAATTTCTAGGACTTGGTAAAAACGTTTTGTAACTTTTTTTTTTTTTTTTTTTTTGCTACTGTTCATCCTGGGCTGGTTTTCTTATACAAGCAGCCCGCATCCTGAAACTGCTTCACCCACCCTTCAACGCTGGACAATGTGGTGGTTCTTTACCAAATTTTGCATGAAAATGTCTTTGAACGAGGATAAACAATGATGTTTTGCCATTCTTCAAAACACAATATGCTTTTATTCTGCATGGATATGATATCTTAATTAGCAGTGCCTGTAGCGGCAATTTTGTAATACAGTCAAAAGTCGTTAATTCGGACACCCATAATCCGGACCTCAAAGCTAAAAACTTTCTGCGCATGCGCCGCGTTGACACATGCGCATAGGCGTTTACGCGTGCGTGTAAGACCTCTTACGACTGCGCATTTGCGTGTGCGCAAGCGCAGAATACGTTTTCGCGTGCGCGTTTTATGTATAACGAACGGTATAAGCTAAAATTATTTAATTATCTATTTCAGTTAATGTTGATGATTGCGTTGTTCCTTAATTTTCGAACTTTGAATTAATTTGAATGGCTTATCACTTTTTTCAGACTGTAAGAGCAATTTTATAAAAGTAAACTTGAACTTTTGATTATGTCAAATAGAATTTCCGATGCTGGAGCTCCAAAAGGATCTACAAAACAAAAGTATGTTTCGATGTCCATCAAACAAAAAGTGGAATTGCTGCAAAAAATGGATAAAGACATGGAGAATGTGACAGAGAGGTTAGTGAAAACGAAAAAATTTCGATTGACAAGTTAGTCGGTATTCTCGGCACAGCAATTAACGGGACTTGAACAGCGGAACTTTGTAACAAACAAAAAATTATGTCTGTTATAGAATTAAAGAGAAAGTATTATCACATAAAAAACGAAGCAACTTAACAACTTACATTGAAAGAAATGTTTAATAAAGTAAACAAATAAATATTACGCTTTTTTTTGTAAATGTTGATACCCTTTAGATCATAATTGTTCTTTATTTCATAAATTACGGTTTCATATTTTTTAGAATTTCTGCATGCCATCTTATGCGATTTAAACTGATGATCTATAATCCGGAATCGCCGAAGTCCCGACGAGTCCGGATTAACAACTTTTGACTGTAAAATGTTTTGCTGTTTCCAGACAAAACTTGCACAATCATAGTTTCAGAATTAATTTGTTTCAGCTTAATAAATCAATTACAGAATTTATACTATGCTATTCTTTTTGTCCCATTCTATACAAAACACTGTTCTGTTACTTAGTCAGTTTACCATAAAAATTATATGTTAGACCAGCAATCTCAAAACTATTTTTAATAAACTTGAAATTTTGCTTACTAAATATTTATCATTTCACATGCTCTAGTCTCTTTCCCATATTTATTAAATTTCACTTCTTTGCCTAAGTAAAAATAACACCGACGAGCCAAAATATTACGACCATCTCCACATTTTTCAATGAACTCATCTGTGTCGACATGGAGATCACGTGATCAGTGGCGTACCTAGGGGGGGTAAGGGGGAACATCTGTCCCCGGGAGCAGCATTTTACCAGAAAATTTTATAATTTATCTGGTGCCAGATTGATGTTACCAAATTGGCACAAAATCTTCAGTTGTTTCCTGGTACTGAAAACCCTATCTAAGGCTCTGCATGTGATCAGGTGGGGATGGTATTTAACTGTTGCCGTTATCAAAGAAAAAAGACCGAGTCTAACCCGCTCGATACAGCAAAATCAGGTCCAAATGCAATTGACAAAATATGAAATAGATAGTAAAACAGATTCCAAATTAGGGCTTCCAGATGCCCATATTCGGTGGACGATTACGTTATTCAAAATTTGATGTCTCTAGGTATCGTTATTTTAATATAATGCGAGAAACATGCATACATTTATGCAGATTCTTCATTATTTAATTATTTTTAATATAATTCAGGGCTTTAATACTTGGTGGCAACAGTTTGAAAAGTGAATCAATGCAAAATATGCCAAAATGAAATTAATAGCCTTTCTGGACTAATGCCCTTTGGGCTTAAAAAAAAAAGAAAACTGCATCAATACATCAAATGCAGCCATTAAAATTAAAATCTAACTATCATGCAAATTAGAATCTGTGATCTTATTTCTAAAAACTTGTTTATATTTGTAAAATTAAAAATAATAATACAAAAAGTAAAACATAAATCTAATAGACCAATTTTTGAAAACTTTTGTTTGTATTCTTAGTCTAACTGTTATCTAAGTTATTTATGAGCAATTATTTGTATTATGATTATGTTATATGCTGTATATTACAGAGAAAAATGAACAGAGGTCTATGAAGAAAACCATTCTTTTAAAAGGAGTCAATGGAAAAAAAAATGTTGACAATCCCTGGTTTTGACGATTCATCACTATTTAGTAATTAATTTTACTGCATATTTAGACAGGGCACAGGCTCTTAAAAATTTTTAATCCAATTACTTATTAAATAAATGATAGAAAACCATCATCTAGATTGCTGGATTATCGCAAAGAACACTAAGCTATCTACCTTGTAAGAAAGAGATACCTCTGTGAAGGATTCTATGGGAAATTCGCTCATATTGGCATAGCAAGACACCATGACTGGATTTGATTTATTAACACTTTACCGACTGATCGGCTATTAATCGGCTTTTTTTCACCAATGCCTACCGACCAATAGCCCATTAATCGGCTTTCTATTGCTAACGCCTAATGACCGATAACCTAATAATCGGCTTTTTTACGCCAACAGCTACGACCGATAGCCTATTAATCGCCTTTTTTCTCGGGGCTCCCTAAAAATAACCTATTAATCGGTAGCCATGGTGATTAAACAATTGCCTTTTGCTATATCATCTGCATTTTATTATTAGGGAGAATCTGCTGCTGAGCAGCTGGTTGAACATGCGCATGCTGTTGAACCGCTAGCGGTCGGTAAAGTGTTAAAGAAAATATAGAATTTTAACTTCACTTGTAAAAGGTTCCTTCTGGATTAAAGAAATTAATTTTATCCTTCAAATCAAGAAATTTTCAATTACTGAAAATTTCGAATTATTGAATTACTAAACTTGAAACTATAATCTTTATTTTTATCTTTGATATACTTCCTCAGAACACCCAATGATGGTATTTCAATTTTTGATTATCATAGATAATTTGACAACACCCAATTTTGTAACACTATTTAAATCTGTCATTCAATTTCAAAACATATTCCAAATTTTCAATTGAAATATTACAAGATTTAACAAAAGGAAGTCTGCTTTCAGAAGAAAATGTTAAATAAACTGATTATCCTCATAAAAGTATTATGCAAATATTTTGCTCCAGAAAATTTTATAATTTATCTGGAACATAATTCATGGTATTAACCTCCCCACACACATACCACCCCTCAAAAAAATTAAAATATTTCAGTATTACTTAAATGCACACTTTTGTCAGGGCTTCGAACAGGAACTGAACCGAAAACCAGAAAAAACAGTCATTTTAGTATCAATGAAAACCGGAACTGAACCAAAAAAAAAGTATCAATTTATTTCGGTTCGATATATCTTCAGTCATTTTGTTACCATAAATAGCTTATCAATATTTTCTAATTTAGCGTCAATCATATAATTATCATCATTACATGTACATTGCATCTCGATTTAGTGTTTTTATGTTCACTAGTACTTTTCTCTTTTAGTTTCGTATGAAACTACTTGTAGAAGGCAGATTTAATTCAGTTGAAAGAAATAAAATCAGTCTAAGTTACATTTTTCGCACCTGAACATGTGATCATCCACAGATGTTGGTGACTGTTTAGATAGACAAACCAACTGCTCAGCAGGAAGTATCCAGTGTGGCGCTGCCCTAAGAAAGAAAGGGATTGTGACATAGGTGTAATAATAAAAGACGTCTCTAATTGGTCAGGAGACGTAAAAAGGCTAATGACAGTCAGTATTAATTCATGGAGACTAAGTACAATGGTCAACTAGAAGTAAATAGTCAAGTAAAGAATAAATTAAAAATCACATGTAACTCTCAAACAGGCTCTCTATTCTTTTGCTTTCCGTCCCAAACTGAGTTGCGCACGTGACGGCCCCCTTTTTCACCAAGCCTTCATAGGGCTCTGTCTTCCAACACTGAATTGCTGATACAGTCAAAAGTCGTTAATCCGGACTCGTCGGGACTTCGGCGATTCCGGATTATAGATCATCAGTTTAAATCTGGTATGATGGCATGCAGAAATTACAAAATTAAAAATATGAAACCGTAATTTATGAAATAAAGAACAATTATGATCTAAAGGGTATCAAAATTTACAAAAAGAAAAAGCTTAATATTTATTTGTTTACTTTATTAAACATTTCTTTCCATGTAAGTTGCTTCATTTCATGTGATAATACTTTCTCTTTAATTCTATTAAACAGACATAATTTCTTGTTTAGTTACAAAGTACCGCTGTTCAAGTCCTATAATTGCTGTGTTGAGAATACGGACTAATTTGTCAATCGAAATGTTTTCGTTTTCAATAACCTGTGGGTCACTTTCTTCACTACATACTTTCGCTTTGTAGATACAAATTACATATTAGTAAATATATATCGGAAATTCTATTTGACATAATCGAAAGTTCAAGCTTACTTTTATGAAATTGCTCTACCAGTCCGCAAAAAATAATAAGCCGGATTAAGGAACAACGCAATTTGCAACATTAACTGAATTAAATAATTTTTGCTTAGATTATACCGTTCGTTACACATTAAACACGTATGCGCAAAAACATATTCGCATCTGTAAAGGTCTTACGCGCACTCGTAAACGCCTGTGCGCATGCGTCGTGATGACGCATGCGCAGAAAGGTTGTAGCTTTGAGGTGCGGATTATAGATCATTCCGTATTATGGGTGTCCGAATTAACGACTTTTGACTGTATCTATTTCAGTTAATGTTGCAGATTGCATTGTTCCTTAATCTTCAAATTGGATCCGGCTTATTATTTTTTGCAGACTGTTAGAGCAATTTTATAAAAGTAAGCTTGAACTTTCAATTATGTCAAATAAAATTTCAAAGGATCTAAAAAGCGAAAGTATGTTTCGATGTCCATCAAACAAAAAGTGGAATTGCTGCAAAAAATGGATAAAGGCATATCCTTTGTTTCTCTAAACATTCCGAAATCTGTTTATCAATTTCGCGCTGCTCTGCGGGGGTTGGGGAACGTCACAGAGCGCAATGAATTGGAAGTTGATTTGTCAGCACTATCCTTATCTTCAGAGCAGATGTTTTTATTTTATTTGGCTTATAATTCCTTACTAAATGTAGTATTTCATCGCCATGTGCTCCATCTTTGATATGATTTAAATCAAATTCCTCGTCATTACAATTCGCTTCCGATAGTGAAGAAAGTGACACAGAGGTTATTGAAAACGAAAAAATTTTGATTGACAAATTAGTCGGGATTCTCGACACAGCGATTATAGGACTTGAACAGCGGAACTTTGTAACTGAACAAGAAATTATGTCTGTTTATAGAATTAAAGAGAAAATATTATCGCATAAAACGAAGCAACTTAACCAACTTACATTGAAAGAAATGTTTAATAAAGTAAACAAATAAATATAAAGCTTTTTTTTGTAAATTTTGATACCCTTTAGATCATAATTGCTCATTATTTCATAAATTACGGTTTCATATTTTTAATTTTATAAATCTATTAATTTTATAAAACTATAAATTTTTCTGCATGCCATCTTACTAGATTTAAACTGATTATCTATAATCCGGAAAAATTGATAATCCGGAATCGCCGAAGTCCCGACGAGTCTAGATTAACGACTTTTGACTGTATAGTTTTTTAGTTGAACCGGAATGAAAAACTTTTTTTGAAGCCCTACTTTTTTTTAAAGTGCGTGGGGTATATCATACCCCTACCCCACATATAAGTGGAATATTCCTAACTTGTGAAACTGAAATTCTGTGCTGCTTTCAGTAGCTGAGTTTCTCGTTGTCGTTGACTTTCAGAACCACTTTTTCCTTGCCTGTGTGTTTCAGAAAAAGATTGGTATTTTGTTGGAACTGGGGTATGACACACCCCACGCGCCTGTCCGTGTAAGTGTTTTTCTGACTGAATATTTAGTTCAGAAATTTATTCCTAGAGTGTAACAGTAAATATTTCTACTCCCAAGTGATTTTAAAGAAGTACTTGACATTAAATTCTGAAAAATTTCTAATTGCATTATGGTGAAAAGAATGACTCCCTATGAATTGGAGATGCAACGCCTGTGAGATTTATTAGAAATATTTGAAAGAGATGAAGACTGCATTTCGGAAACTGAAGATGAAACTAGGAATATTTTCTACAGTGTTTTGGTTTCGAAAAAAATAAAACAATAATTCCTGATGTTCCTAAAAAAGGAAAAACTGTTCTTATGCTTTCAACATTATATAACGATTATACTATAGATGATACTATTGGAGAAAATAAAACGTCAGGAACGTCAGGAACAGTCAAAAGTCGTTAATTCGGACACCCATAATCCGGAATGATCTATAATCCGGACCTCAAATCTAAAAACTTTCTGCGCATGTGCCGCGATCTATAATCCTGATCTCAAAGCTAAAAACTTTCTGCGCATGTGCCGCATTGCCACAGACGTTTTATGTGTACGCGTAAGACCTTGACTACTGCGCATATGCGTGTGCGCAAGTGCAGAATACGTTTTCGCCTGTGCGTTTAATGTATAACGGACGGTGTAAACTAAAATTATCTAATTCTCTATTTCAGTTAATGTTAATGATTGCGTTGTTCCTTAATCTTCGAATTGGATCCTGCTTATTATTTTTTGCAGACTGTAAGAGCAATTTTATAAAAGTAAACTTGAACTTTCGATTATGTCAAATAGAATTTCCGATGCTGGAACTTCCAAAGGATCTACAAAACGAAAGTATGTTTCGATGTCCAACAAATAAAACGTGGAATTGCTTAAAAAAAATGGATGAAACATGAAGAATGTGACAGAGAGGTTAGTGAAAACGAAAAATTTTCGATTGACAAGTCGGTATTCTTGGCACAGCAATTAAGGGGACTTAAACAGCGAAACTTTGTAACTGAACAAGAAATTATGTCTGTTTATAGAATTAAAGAGAAAGTAGTATCACATAAAATGAAGCAACTTAAACAACTTACATTGAAAGAAATGTTTAATAAAGTAAACAAATAAATATTAAGCTTTTTTTTTTTTTTTTTTTTTTTTTTGTAAATTTTGATACCCTTTAGATCATAATTGTTCTTTATTTCATAAATTACAGTTTCATATTTTTAATTTTAGAATTTCTGCCCACCATCTTACGAGATTTAAACTGATGATCTATAATCCGGAAAAATCGTTAATCCGGAATCGCCAAAGTCCCGACGAGTCCGGATTAACGACCTTTGACTGTATATGTTTTTATAATATGACTAAAGGAGCACTGGATATGGGGGATGAAATATCATCCAATTATTCAATTGCCAGAATAACAAGGAGGTGAGGTGGCCAATGGTAATTTTCTTTCCTGCACTGAATGTTGCTGTAATAAATGCTTGAATTATATTACATTCAACTGCTAATCCACCAACCAGACACAGAAGTCTGTTTTTGAAGGACTTAGCATTACAATGAAATAAGTATCAGAGATTAATACTTTACCGAGAAACTAACGTACTGCATGAATTTGATGCACATAGGAAAAGTTGAAGTTTCGACGAAGAATTAAAACGAATACATGAAATTCGAAACAACTAAGTATGAAAGATGTGATAAATTCTTTGCCTTCGTGCTAAGGACAGAAGAACGTGAATGCAATGTTTAAAATGTGAAAACATTCTGTTCCAAGAACATGTGAACTTATTTCGTTCATTAGAGATGCAATGAAACTTAGAGGCATGATGTTCATTTTTTATTATTTTCATTTATCTTAATTTTAACTCTAAGATTATTTTGGAAATTAATTTTTTGAAACCCAATTATTATTCTCGTATTTATAACACTCAAGAACAAGAAAAACAGCTTTAAAACTATTTTTATCGTATTTTAAATATTGGGGTATGTGATACCCCACGCGCCCACTCAAGTAACTTTTCTTGGTGCGACTTCCGCCAGGGTTAAGAAATAATTTAGCATTTAACTCTAAAATTGGTTTTTTAAATGAATAAACCAAAAATAAATCAAACTTTTATCATAAACTGTCACAGATGAGATTATGTAACAGAAAAGTGACTCCAAGAGTACTTAGAATTTCACTATATTATATAAGTAACAATTAAATTTCATTTACTACTAGAAAAAAATTCAAATGATCAATCACATATACACTCTTCAATAAGTTCCCTTTTTTAACAATTAAACACTCGGAAGCTAAGAATCTGATATTGCTGATTTATAAAGCAATGTATGGAATTCACAAAATTAGTCATATTACAGTTTGATGCATATAGCAAATACAATGATTTTAATTGCAAATGATGTGTTTTCATTGCAGCAAACACATATTTAACACAAATTCCTTAATTAAATGAAAGAAATTCATTCAATTTGCTCATCACTACAAATTAAAAACTAAACCCTGAATAAAATTAAGCATCAAAAATACAATATAATAATACAGAAAAGAAAAACAATTCATTAATAATTATCACCATTGTGTTTTGTTTACTCATGTTAACATTACTTTTTGATGAAATAATTAAGAAAAACTATGTAAATAAATTTATAGGATTCTTATGGCCTTCTCCTCCCCCCTCCAACATAATATGAGTTTCTGTTCCTTTTAACAAAGGAAAACAAAATATCTGAAATACCTAAGATGACAACTCTTACACATAAGCAGATTTATTGGGTTATTACAGTAGCAATGGCAATCACAATGAGCCCAATATAATATACAGAATTTTTTTAATTAAAGCCATGCATTTTGGGTGCCATATTTTGGCTTGTTTATTTTTCGATGCTTTTGGCACAATAACTAGATGAAATGAGACAGTCAGAAACAGTAATAAATAACATTCTTTAATTTCACAATAAAATTCTCCAAAATGCCATTGTAATGGAAGAACATGGCCTATGTTATATTTTTAATAAGTTTCTTTTGTTTCTACAATTTTATAGCACACAGCTGTTTTAATATTAGGATGAGATACCAACGAATTACACATAATTTTTTAAGAGAATTATTCCATTCAACCACTGCACTGTGATTCATTTAAGGCAAGCTTTCACACAATTTAATATACAACATGAAGTAAATTAATCATGTCACAGTAACAAAATGTCTCATCCAAGAAATTTCATTTCTGTTCAAATGGCTATGCAGACCTTTCTAATACTGGGAATTTTTATTCCCAGCATGAGCAAGCCATTTGAATCATTTTAGTTTCATGAGATGATTATTTGAGTGCAAGCTTTCAATGGGAAAACACCTCTTTCTTGAGGGAAGGGAACTACTACCTTCTTCATCTGTTGACAAATCTGAAATCCTAAAATACACTGAGATAAAAATTATGAGCCAACCAGCTTTTGTGCAGTAAAGTCACTGAACACTAATAATTGAAACTAGGCAGCTACATGGGTGTTTCTGTGGTTTTCCTCACATGCAATAATGGATATAAGGCAGTTTCTCTTACAAAGTCCTCCACAAAGGCACCCCTCCCTTAGGTATATAGCCTTTGCAGTAAGGAACAAAGCTGTTCATATATGTACAACCAATCATGGATATAACATATAATGATAATATGTGGCTTACAATGACAACACGCAAGTATTTGTAAAATCTGGATATACCCACTTCACTAGTTTTTTGCTTTACAGTTGAATTGCATGTTATTTTCTGTTAATTCCATCTGTATATGGGTTGGCACTTTCTCAATATCAGCTGCAAAAGTAATTTTGTTATGAGATTATCTAAATGATTATCTGAGCTCTTTTTAACATCATACTTTTATTTACATATTATTATTTATATTTTTCATATTTTCTTGGGGTAGGCTGAAAAAAAATGAGTCAAAAGCCATATGCAGTCCACAGACAGAGAGTTTGGCATGCCGGGTTCATAAAGACAATTATTGCCAAGAAATCGACACCGAGGAAATACACTAAAACAAAAAGAGGGTCAAGTCATATGGTTTTAATAGAAAAGCATCTCGTATAATGCAAACCCCTGTATAAAGTTCATATAAGGTGAACCTACTCTTGTTCTAACATTCTTTGCTCCAGAAAATTACAGGATGTCAAATTTCTTAGGTAACACCTATAAGAACACATGTTCATTATAATGCAAAGGTACTCATGTGTCCATTTTGAACATACATGCATTTTTAATGTTTTTTACCTGTTTTACTATTTAGAAAACATTGTAAGGCAATAAAAAATTTAAAAAGATTTAAATTAACAAAGAAAGATTATTAAACATGACTGTTAATACAGTCAAAAGTCGTTAATTCGGACACCCATAATCCGGAATGATCTATAATCCAGACCTCAAAGCTAAAATCTTTCTGCGCATGCGCATAGGCGTTTTACTCGTGCGCGCAAGACATTTACGACTGCGCATATGCGTCTGCGCAAGTGCAGAATACGTTTTCGCGTGCGCGTTTAATATATAACGGACAGTATCAGCTAAAATTATCTATTTCGGTTAATGTTGATGATTGCATTGTTCCTTAATCTTCGAATTGGATAGGGCTTATTATTTTTTGCAGACTGTAAAAGCAATTTTCTAAAAGTAAGCTTGAACTTTCGATTATGTCAAATAGAATTTCGATGCTGGAGCTCCCAAAGGATCTAGAAAAAGAAGAAATCTGTTTATCAATTTCACGCTGCTCTGAGCGGGGGGGGGGGCGTGGCGGCGGGCAATGAACTGGAAGTTGATTTGTCAACACTATCGTTATCTTCAGGGCAGATGTTTTTATTTTATTCGGCTTATAATTCCTTACTAAATGTAGTATTTAATTTCGATGTACTCCCTCTTTGATATGATTTAAATCAAATTCCTCCTCATTATAATATCACGAATACAAATCAAATAGTTTTCTGGTTGCAATTTTCTAAATTTCGGCTATGCGAAGGTATGCTTTACGCATCCGCGCGTTGAAAGAAATGTTTAATAAAGTAAACAAATAAATATTAGGCTTCTTTTTTGGTAAATTTTGATACCCTTTAGATCATAATTGCTCATTATTTTATAAATTACGGTTTCATATTTTTAATTTTATAATTTCTGCATGCCATCTTACCAGATTTAAACTGATGATCTATAATCTGGAATCGCCGAAGTCCTGACGAGTCCGGATTAAAGACTTTTGACTGTAAATGTATTACAATTTTGAAACTTTCACAAAAGCAGTAAACTTGTTACCAAACATTTATATACTGGTGTAATTGTGAAGCTCACTAATTTCCTCAGTTTCAATCAACCAGTATTGGCAATATCAGAATGTAAAAATGCCCATCGGTCAAACTGACCTATGCGTACTTATAGGTGTTTATGAGATTATGAGATTTTTATCAAAAACTACATGGCTCAATGTATACTGCATTAATATTTTGCTATAAAAATAAATCAGCATTTCCTCTACTCCATTCAAAAAGAATGCTGACCAATAATTACTTGGATTACTTCAGATAAGCTGATAACAGAAAAGGATAAAGCGGGTAAAAGAGGAAGAGTCACAATCCTTTTATTCATTCAAAAGAAGATGTCGAACTTAATGAACGAGGGTCACTTTGGTATAGAAAAAGTAAGAAGAGATGTTCTATTTTGATGCCTTTTAAACAAGCAAAAAAAAAAAGATAAGACTTATAAAATAAGCATCATATAATGAATGCATTTCCAAAACAGGTGAGAAAACCCATATTACAGTCAACAGTCATTAATCTGGACTCGTCGGGCGATTCCGGATTATAGATCATCAGTTTAAATCTGGTAAGAAGGCATGCAGAAATTATAAAATTAAAAATATGAAATAATGAGCAATTATGATCTAAAGGGTATCAAAATTTACAAAAAAAAGCTTAATATTTATTTACTTTATTAAACATTTCTTTCAATGTAAGTTGTTTAAGTTGCTTCGTTTTATGCCATAATACATTTTCTTTAATTCTATAAACAGACATAATTTCTTGTTCAGTTATAAAGTCCGCTGTTCAAGTCCTATAATCACTGTGTCGAGAATACCGACTAATTTGTCAATCGAAATTTTTCCGTTTTCAATAACCTCTGTGACACTTTCTTTACTATCGGAAGCAAATTGTAATGACGAGGAATTTGATTTAAATCATATCAAAGATGGAGCACATGGAGATGAAATACTACATTTAGTAAGGAATTATAAGCCAAATAAAATAAAAACATCTGCCCTGAAGATAAGGATAGTGCTGACAGATCAACTTCCAATTCATTGCGCTCTGCGACGTTCCCCAACCCCCGCAGATCAGCGCGAAATTGATAAACAGATTTCGGAATGGTTAGAGAAACAAAGGATATACCTTTATCCATTTTTTGCAGCAATTCCACTTGTTTCACAATTCTACAATTTTTGTTTGATGGACATTGAAATATACTTCCGCTTTGTAGATCCTTTGAAATTCTATTTGACATAATTGAAAGTTCAAGCTTACTTTTATAAAATTGCTCTAACAGTCTGCAAAAAATAATAAGCCGGATCCAATTTGAAGATTAAGGAACAATGCAATCTGCAACATTAACTGAAACAGATAATTAGATAATTTTAGCTTAGCTTATACCATCCGTTATTCATTAAACGCATATGCATAAACGTATTATGCGCATGCGTAAAAGTATTATGTGCATGCGTGGACGCATTATGCGTTGACGAATGCGCAGAAAGTTTGCAGCTATGAGGGTCCGGGTTATAGATCATTCCGGATTATGGGTGTCCGGATTAACGACTTTTGACTGTACTATATGATGTTCTTATCTGGGTATAAAGTTGGCACATATTTGAGATAAACAAAAGATGTATAATTATCAACAGCAGATTATTATTTCAACTTTTCTGAAATTACCAGATTATCAGCTAGTGACCAATTATATAAATTTTATTTTACAAGCTGTAGCAAAGTACTGATGTCATATATTTGATAATAGACATCAATATGTAAATAAGAAAACATACAGAATTTATGAAGAAACATATATTGAATACTCCTTACCATCAGCAATCAAATGGGAGAGCAGCATTCAGTTTTTAAATACATAAATTCACAGGTAGATCACACTGGATCCTTACACAGTCAATGACATATATATGTTAATATGTCGTTCAACAAGTACTCCTAGAAGCATTCGAACTAATGAAAAATTTACAACAATGCAACAACTTGCGAGCAGAACAATAAGGATAATTCTTCTCATTAAAAGATGAATAAAACCTCAATATGTAGTAAAGCTAAAAAGAACAAAACCTCAATATGTAGTAAAGCTAAAAAGAACAACTTAACCAAGAAAGACTTAAGCAGACATATTATTATAACTGTTATACAGCAGCATCATTATGCACGAAAGATTGTGTGAGGATATATGAAGATAATTATGTAATAGAAAAGATCAGCTGTAGAACCAATAAAGATACCCAAATCACATTTCCAAAGAGAAGTATTTAAAAGAAATAAAAAAAAAAAAGTAGTATAAACAACCAATATAAAAAGTGCACAGAACTTTAAAAATTATGGAATTCAATTTTGTCTTATTTGGGGAGGGGGGTTGAAAACTGAATTTCCCTTACATATGCTAAGATATGCTCATTTGCTAGTACTGAAATGGGGGGAAGTGCGGAATCACCCACTACTTGGCACGTTTTTAAGAATTGCACAGACTCGGTATCCATATACACATCGACCTACTTCACTTGAAAAAAAATACCAGAATTGTACAAAAATGGCACTGTGCACTCCCTTGACTTTATCTATGTACATATTGACTTATTTTCACTTAAAAAGTAAAAGAAAATTGACAAAAATCCAATTCTCCTTACCCTTGTAAAAAGTGCCAAACAAATAAGTGGGTGATTCTGCACTTTACCCCTGAAATGTAATTGCCTTACTTACTAATGGGATTAAATAAAACATACAGTTAATTCTAATTAAAAGGTAGATTTTAGCTTAAAGATTGCAACAACAAAGCTTATTACAAATTTACTACTGATCTGCTCAAAATCACAATTTTCAGCTAGTATTTCAGGTTCAGCTGCAATGATAATAAACATTCAAGTAAAACATAAATTAATCAGAAAATACAAGGTTAGCATAACTGATTCATTAATTTTGAAAAGGCTATATTTCAAAAGTATTACAGGTATACACATGAAAAGAACCACAAATTCATTAAGTTTCCCAGATAAGTGGAACGTTGCTTAATATATCTTGTTGGTAAAATTTTCTCCTCCAATGTTGACGCTAAAATCTAGTTGTCGGTCATAATCCTCCGGCTTAAAGTGGGCCAGGAGTTACAGATGGTATGGTTTGAATTGACACAAAATCTTCCACACAGTTTTTTGTGGTATTCCGAACATTTGGTCAATTGACAGGACTAATATCTGGACAACAATGCTACAAAAATATACCACATCAGCTCGATTATTGTCTAGATGTGTGTTGTGTCACCAAAGGGCCCGTACTCAGCACATTTGTAGAGGGTGTATGAACTTCGTGAGTTTGTGGCTCTTTTCATATACCTTTCATGTTTGTATGTAAAATACTTTTGAAAGTCTAGCCTTTTCAAAACAAATGAATCACTTGTGTTAACCCTCTAAAAATATATAATGAATCTATAATCAAAAGCTAGATTTTTTTTAACATACTGATACACCATGGTATAATTTAATATTATTCACCTTATACTTATTTTTTGTTAAAAACTGTTTAAAATTTCTTTGCCCAGTTTGTGTGTATGTGTAATTTATATTAGGTCACTGAATAATTAGCTCTGTACTACTGTAGAAAATGTGTAACACTTTGATAGTATTTGTTTATAAAACATAATTTTAAGTTTTAATATTTTGGCAACATTTATATTAAATTGTAAAAAGAATGAGTTAAAAAATGTATCTGGAAGAGAGAGAGTTTCATTATTATGGTTTTGGTAGAATGTGGTCTTATGTCTGATTTTTTTTAATAAAGTTTTCTTTTTGTATATTGCCATAATGTATTTTTGTTAGAAGTGGATGATTCTTTTGAGAATGTTATATATATGCCAATCTTAAAAAACCAACATTTGGTAGCAGAGCGTGGTTGCCCACTCTGTTAATAAACTTTCAGATAGAACATTGATATTGTTTAGGCTTAACAAAATAGCCAATTTCTCTAAGAGATAAAGTAGACTTGTATTATAATTAGTGAATATAAATTAGAAAATATGGCATATAATATGATAAATTTGAGTCATATAGAAATATTAAGTGATGATAATTATCTTATTTGGGCCAACAGAATTCAAAGTGAATTAAGAAGTTTAAAAATATGGAGAAGTGTGATAGAAGCTGATGAACCACCAAAACCATATAAAAAGGATGATGTTAATTTCGAAAATGAAATAAAAACTTGGGAAATATGGGATGATAATAATGCGATAGCAAGAAATATAATGAATCAAACTATGACAGCTCCACAAGCGTTAAAATATACGAATGAAAAGAATGCAAAGAAGTCATAGGAGAAAATCAAAAATGAAATGGTGACAAGAACAGAAGATATTCAAATCAAATGTAGAATAGAATTAGCTCAACAAAATGAGTCAAAATGAATCAGTAGATGATTATATGAATAGAGCTGTAATTCTGAAAAGTAAAACTATTCAAGTTGGAGATGAAATAAGAGATAAAGAAATAATTTACTTCATACTACAAGGACTTAGAAAGGAATTTGAATTTGATGTTAAAATTATTAAAAGCAATAAAGAGAAACACCTAGCTTCAATTAGACAAGCTTTAAAAGAAACAGAAGGAAAAAATAAACAAAGAGAAAAAGAAATACAGTCAAAAGTCCTTAATCCGGACTCGTCGGGACTTCGGCGATTCCGGATTATAGATCATCAGTTTAAACCTGGTAAGACGGCATGCAGAAATTATAAAATTAAAAATATGAAACCGTAATTTATGAAATAAAGAACAATTATGATCTAAAGGGTATCAAAATTTACAAAAAAAAAAAAAAAAAAAAAAAAAAAAAAAAAACCTTAATATTTATTTGTTTACTTTATTAAACATTTCTTTCAATGTAAGTTGTTTAAGTTGCTTCGTTTTCTGTGATAATACTTTCTCTTTAATTCAATAAACAGACATAATTTCTTGTTCGGTTACAAAGTTCCGCTGTTCAAGTCCCGTAATTGCTGTGCCGAGAATACCGGCTTACTTGTCAATCGAAATGTTTTCGTTTTCAATAACCTCTGGGTCACTTTCATACTACACTTAGCAAGGAATTATAAGCCAAATAAAATAAAAACATCTGCCCTGAAGATAAGGATAGTGCTGACAGATCAACTTCCAATCCTTGGCGTGAAATTGATAAACAGATTTCGGATTTCAAAACATACTTTCACTTTGTAGATACAAATTACATATTAGTAAATATATATCGGAAATTCTATTTGACATAATCGAAAGTTCAAGCTTACTTTTATGAAATTGCTCTAACGTCTGCAAAAAATAATAAGCCGGATCCAAGGATTAAGGAACAACCAACCGCATTAACTGAATTAGAAACATTAGCTCAGAATTAGATAATTTTAGCTCAGCTTATACCTCGTAATTCAGGTCTTAATGCGCTTGCTCACAAACATATTAGCAGCCGTGGATGGTCTTACGCATTTTTAAGCGCTTTGCGCAGGTGGATGCGACGCATGCGCAGAAAGTTTGAGCTTATGACATTCGTCCAGGATTATAGTGCCGAATTAACGACTTTCCGGATTGACTGGGTGTACCGAAGTTAACGGACTTCAAGTAGGCAAAGTGAAAACTGGATAAATCGAAATGAAAGAAGATGCTTTAATTGTGGAAAATTAGGAAAGACATTTAATAAAAGAATATTGAAATAATAATAATAGTATAAAGTGCTTTTGCTGTGGGGGAAATTCACTGAAACAACTGAAAAGAAAAACTAAAGAAAGACACTGACAGCAAAGAGAAATGTAAAAATAAACTTATATAAAATGTCAAGCAAGAAAAGAGAATATGAATCAGCTACATGCTTATTTGAAGTATCTAAGAAAATAGAAAGCTCATATCTTAAGATAGAAATGATGGAAAGAATAAAATAAATGAACAAGAGAATGGAAAAATTAAATGGATTATTGATTCAGGAGCCACATCTGGTTAATCTTCGGATTATGGTAACTTCGCGATTTTTTGGCGAAACTTTCGCGATCAACCGTGCTACAGCAACCTCCTAATTTTGTTTTGGATGCCATTTTGTTTTCACGAAGTAAAGGCATGTTCCACATACACGGTATCATCCATGTACACGTCGACATATTTTCACTTAAAAAAAAAAAGCCCAGAATTGCACAAAAATGGCATTGCGCACACTCTTGACTTTATCCATGTACACTGCTAAAGTCCTAGCTAGTAACCTTTATCGCCTTACCAAAATGTCGCCAAACTACCTTTTACCATATTCCAAAGATTAGCCCCACATCTCACATGGCAACTAATAAAGAAATATTTACTAATTTTAAAGATGAAGAATGACAAATAATGATGGCTGAAAAAGGGGCCATGATCAAATCAGTTGGTATTGGTAATATTAAAATGCAAACTGATAGAAATAAGAACATCTTGAGAGTAGAAAATGTTCTGCAAGTACCGAATTTAAGTGAAAATCTGCTGTCAGTATCAAAAATTGTAGATCATGATTTAAAAGTACCAAGAATAAAGCAGAAGTGATCAATAAACAGGGAAACATTCTACATATAGCTAACAGAAATGGAAATAAATTTGAAGGAAATATTGTTAAAGAAGCTAAAATTAGTTATGTTGATGATGTACTATGGCATCAGAGACTAGGTAATATAAATTATCAAAGGCTGATAGAAATGAAAAAACACTCATCGGTCATTGGATTAGAAAATGTAAAAATTTCTGAAAACAATTGTTAACCTTGTACATTAGGTAAAATAACATGAACATGTTATAAAAGTGTGAAATTTAAGCAATCTGAAGATATTTTAGAATTATGGCACATAGATTTAGTTGGACCAATTGAAAAATCAATAGATGGAAGTTATTTTTTAACAGTGATAGATGATTACAGTAATTTCATATTTGTGATAACAATTGAGAAGAAGAGTGAAACTGCAGAAGCTCTAATCAAACTTATCATCCAAGAAGAAAGAAAACAGGAAAGAAATAAAAAGAATTCGTAGTGATAATAGTAGTGAGTTTTTAGCTA